TATTAATGTAGCAGAGCAGCTTCAGACACTGTCACTTGAGGAAGCTACTGAGCCACGGGGCCCCTCTGCAGATGGCGCTGGGCCATCCCGCAAGGAGCAAACCCGGACCCCTTCCTGTCACTCCATTCAGAGCGTGGTTTAGTTCCTAGGAGGGAATTTCTGGAATGCTCCGTTCCCTACAGAGCTGTTACTACGGGGCTGCAGCGCCTGCATCTCCTGTTCTTGGTAGCACCTAGGACCTTACTCAGACAACTCTACTTTTCCCCATTTCAGAAAGCTCCAGGAGCAAGGTTTAAAGCACATCCAGTTCACTATGATACAAAACTAGCAGGTTGGAAATTAGTGGCTTTTTTTTTTTCGGTTATGTTTTCACAAAGTAAGGCTGAAGCTATCTATTCCCCTGATAATTCTTACAAGGGGCATATTTGCAAACAACGGCAAACCGACCGCACTGCCATGTTAATGGGAACAGTCAGCTCTCAGCATAGCTTGACGTGATGTCTCTGGACACGACGGCACTGAGCACAGCAGCTGTTGCCGAGGCAAACAGCTGAAATAAAAGAGGAAGAAAGGCGGCTTGCAAAAAACCGCCTTTGCTAGTCCAAATGGCTCTCAGTACTATTCATGTAAAGACACACTGCTGTTAACATCTGCTGGAAGTTAATCTGAAGAGTTGTTTGCAAATAGCAAAGCTGGTAAGCACCTGCTGCTGTAGGTTAGATGAACTTTGTGGCCATATAACATCCTATTTTGTTCCCAGCAGCTCTCACAAACACCACCCTTTACAGAACAGAGATGAATGGACTCTGTGAAGGGCACTCTCGGTGAAATTGGACAGGACTATACACAAGTATTGCCAGATACCTGAACAGCTGAAGATTCTGGTTCAGAAATATTCTAGAGCCTGTGGTCTCAGAAAGGTGACTCAGGAAAGCAAACAAATTGCCAGTGACTTAATTTGGTAACTTGAAGGTCTATGTATTAACAGACGTCAAAACTACTTAGAAAAGAAAATTCCTGGAAGAGTGGTTCTGGGTTTTAACACTGCCATTGGCATCAGCGTGCTTGAGTGCAGCACAGGTCCCATCTTCCTGGCACGCAGGGAAGGCAAGAAGTGCAACGGGTCTTCTGCATTTCCCATTCACTTCTGTGCTTTTTGTCCCCGTGCTGGAGCTTCCCCAAGCCTCTCGTCCCACAAAGAATCTCACCTTCCTTGAACATTTGATTTCAGACAGGTAAATCAAACTGGCAGAGAAAAGAAGCCAAAAGCCAGAGTGAGACTGAACCCCTTTTTACAGCCTGTCTCTGTATGGCTCCTCGTCAGTGAGCCTTGTCTGTCTCTCCCATGCTGTTCCGTGGCAGTGGGGCACTGTCCCAGTGGATGTGTCCATGGATGTATCCCTGCTGTACGATGGTAGATGTCCCTCCCTGTACTTCAGCGCACTTTTTTTTCCTTTGATTGGTCTTTCAGTTTTGCTTGGCCTAATTTATGCTTGAAATGGTTTGCAGCTTCCAGAATGAGCATAGATGGTCAGACATAATGGAAAATGTCATGATACAGTATCTGTTGTCTTATGGAGCTGTAACTCAGGTCCTAAACTAGACACGAATTTGCCATGCAGGAGAAAAGTTGACAACAAAGGTTCAGTCCATCTCTTATTTCTGTGACTGCACAAAATTAAGAGGAAAAGTAGGAAGACTGACTGAATCCCAGGTGTTTTCCAAGACCTTAGGACAGCTCCTGTGTTCTTAATTCGATCTAACTCATAATCTTCTGAGCTCAGTGAGATAGCCACTGATTTTGGTGGAGGGACCTTTTCTTCGTGTAAAGAAAAGAGGAAGGCAGATGGGCAGTATTGAGTGCAAGGGAAACATTTTTTTCTACTCTTGAAACCCACTCGAAGGACTACAATGTCTTCAGTCCTCGCATCAGGGATTGAGATTTTTAACTGGACCTGTCTTTTCATTAGTACTGCTCTATAAGGGAAAGATGCTCCTACATCCTCAGATCCTTTCCTACCTCTGCTCTTTCTTCAGAAGTAAATAAGGCATTCTCTCATTACACAAAACCACATCAAACTTGATTGATGTAATAAAAATCCTTCTTTTTGGTCTGTACTTTCACAAGACAGTTCTTTCAGAGTTCTGGGAGAGAGAGCATCCAATTCCACAGATAAATGCCCCTGAATTTTGCTTCCACCTTGGTTACATAGACAATCCCATACTTCTGTTGTCATTTGGGAAACTGCCTTTGATGCGTTATTTGAGCCTGGAATCTCCTGCATAACCTGTGATGGCCTTCAGTTTGATGCTTTAAGCAAAGAGACTGGCAGAGAGACCCACCGCTCTGTGTTGCATGCAGAACACCCAGATAACTTCTAGGTCTCTGCAGCCTTTGCAGAGTTTAATTGCTGTTAATTCCAAATGATCATGTGAATCTTACACACACAAGTTTCTGGAAGATCACAACACTGTATTTATGCAGGTGGAAGCCATAAAGTACGTTTGGGAAATCACACGTCAATCTGGAATTTGAGAAATCAGATTTTTATCTCAGGCTACAAGTTATTAACCACTACCACTATTACTATTAATCTCCTCCCACACATAATTGGTAAGTCCACATTCACAGTGCACTGTGAACAGCGAGTGCCATTTCCGAGCCTCTGAGTATTTTTAAAAGCCCTGCAGATGCCATGTTCCTAATTCTGGATACCCAGGACGTCGTGTTGCTATGGTTTCAGGCAACAGACAGGGAAGATCTCTATTGCACCTCAGGCAACAACAACGGATCGTGCCACCAAATCCACTTACATTCTTTCTTTTTAATAATAATTCATAGTTGTGATAACTCTGCTGCAGGTAACTGCTACTGGTATTAACAGAGGCTGGAAGACAGGCACTGGATATTGAGGGCCCCGTGAAGAACTTGTCCTTAGCCCAAAAGAATAACGTTTAATTACCAAGTATGTAAGCAGAAAGGCTCTGTGTTAAATGTGTCCATGCAACAACAAAATGTCTCTAAAAGCAGTGCCCATCAGTTTCTGCCATACCTTGACAATAAATGATAATCGATTCTAAAGGGGATTCTTCTCATCAGTTCACATTTGACCAAAAAGATTTAACAGCACACAAGAGAGCTTATTGCCTTGAGAGATCTTCGATCCTTTCTGAACCAAACTGTGTCACCACATCAGTTTCATGACTCACCCAAGTACCCGGGATTCAACAGCTTTTTTTTGTCCGATGCAGTTTTAATGTCAGTAATCAAAGAATCATGGAATCATTAAGGCTGGAAAAGATCTCTAAGATCATCAAGTCGTGCGGTCAACCCAACACCACCATGACTATTAAACCATGTCCCGAAATGCCACATGACAAAGTATCTCACTACGTATTCTTCCCTAACATATTCCATAAACAGCTCCTTCAAATGCAACAGTATTTATATGCTGAAGACACATGTGCCAACAGGGGGTGTACATTAAGAGGTTAACTAATATTATTCCCTTTCCGTGCTACTCTGATTTGAGTTACAATGACTAACAGGTCTGAATGCAGTTTGTTACTCAAATGCGCCAGGTTTCTTTTAAAAAAAAAAAAAATGTCTGAAGAGTTAAAAAAAGAGCATGCGCACCTCAGCCCCTCTCCCATTATCAGTTTAGGATTATAGGCCAGAACAAGTTTAATTTTTTAAAAAAAGCTACAATTTTCACTCATGTGAGATGCGTGAATCAGACGGATACTTTTCTGTTTCATTTAGTGGAAAGCAGAAAGGAGCGGTATCATAAATGGTTACAAATATCCTCTGAGTACAGCTCAGCGAATATCTATTGCCAGTATTGATTACCGGGGATGCACTTGAAACAACCTGTATCGCTTAACAAAGGCAGCCAGGGATGCCCTTTAACCAACTTGTATCATTTAACCGAGGCAGCCAATTAGAGGAGCTGTGACTCTCTCAGACGCTGCCGTTTGCCCGTTGCTCGCCTGATAAATCCGTACTGATGCAATGCACAATGCCTGCAGAGCGAGCTAACTCCATCAGAACTCATCTACTTTTTCACCACAGTGCTTTTACAACAGTCGCCGCCGTGCTGCAGAGAGATGGGATCACAGTGACACTCAGCGGCAAGACAGAAAAAGTGATTCTCAGTTTCTATCCAACACCTGCTATTAGGACGCATAACATATTAATCAGATCATTAGTAGTATTTTCTCTCTGATAATATTCCATGTAAGCATTATAATTCAGATCAAAACATGTACTTTTGGTTATACAAACTGAAAGGAAGTTGGGATTACTTACTTTACCAAGGCGCCCTCACTCATAGGTTGTCTGCTGTGATCTCCTGCAATTGAAATAAATAAATTGAGAAACTGAACTAAAACCTCAGATACTGAATTTCAGAAATGAGACTTGAATGGCCACAGTTTTACGTTCTTTGCAGATGACTTGAATGGTCTGCAGAACAGCGTTTTAAATCTTGTGTGCGATTTAGCACGTTGCGTATGTACAACTGACACAGTTCATGACCCTTCCCAGTTATTCGTGTTCAATCAGAACATTTTTTCTGGATGTTTCTGAATGCACAGCAAGCTCTGGCTGACTGAATTGGGTCACTGAAAGAAAAAAGGAGATATTTTCCCATCGCGTAAGCTAACACTGGGGAAAAAATCAAACAAAACAAAACAGAATCTTTGCTATTAAAGATTTTTAACATGAATCTTGACAAGGATTTGAGGGAAGTATTTTAGGTGGAGTAGTTCTGCAGGAAGGAAGCAGGGTGGGCTCTCAGGTTGTCCAGCCTTGCCTGCTTTAGTGCAGGGAAAGACTCACAGTTTTATATTCAAATACAGTGCCAGAAATTCGTCTGAGCCTGTGGCTGCCTCAAGTCACTCAATCTCACATCATTCCAGGATGTTAGCAAACAAGAGTTATCGCCAGAGAATGCTGCCTGAAACACTGTGTGTAAAATAATTTCATCTATCTCGAACAGGGTCCTGTCGCATCGCCCATGTCTATGCGATCGGTTCTAACGAGCGGGTCGTGCCGCTCCCCGCCAGCACCACCGCCGCCGCCGCCACCTGGACCTCCCCCCGTCTTCGACAGCGAAACCGCAAAGGATGAAGGAACCGCATCTCGCTCGGCCCTGTTTGCACAGCTTAACCAGGGAGAGGCCATCACCAAAGGTCAGGAGAAAAGAAATCCAAGTTGGGTCCATGCGCCAAACTGCATCAGAGCTGCTCTGCGTATTAACCCAACTTCCACCACATTTTTAAGCTCCATTTAAGCAGCTCAGATCTTTGAGGCTTGCAGTGAGTCTGACTGCGAAGACCAAACCTTCCTTCAGAAGTAACAGCACCCAAAATATGTTGGGCACATTTGAGATTCACACCATTTATTGAGAGGTATCCTTTTAATTTTACAGTAGCCAAGATGGACAACTTCAATCCTCAGTAGCTGCTGAACATCTAATTTGCAACTGCAAGAAAAATTTCTCTCCCTTTCTGATTTACAGTGTACCAACCTGTGTCAAAATGTGTTATGTATTAGGTGAAAGGGTATGGCTTACTGCTCAGTGTGGAATACAATAATAAAGCTTTTTGTATTAATACTGGACAGTTGTAATTAAAGCAGGTGGTTGTGAGTTTAGATAGATATGATTAATACATCTGCCTTTAACGCTGCAGGGACAGGTCAAATATTGTCCTAAATTAGAAAAATAACATCATTTTTATGAATGGAAAAATATTATGTGTAACAAGCTCTCCAAGCTGGCTACAGACAGAAAGAAACTAGAAAACATTGTGACATTTCCTGTTAAAGATGGTAAGATAGCCCACCCATAGTAAAGGACATTTTATATGAACTACTAAAAATATGTAGGCAGTTACACTTTAGGTCGTTACTCATGCGAGACTTGAGGAAATAAAAAATGTAAATTCACAGAATAATTCAACACACTTGCAAATGAACCTTTCCTGCTTAAATATGAGCACACGAAGTGTGGAGGACAGACTGTCTTTCATAAACATTTTTTTTGTAGGGCTTCGCCATGTCTCTGATGACCAGAAGACTCACAAGAACCCCAGCCTACGTGCCCAATGTCCCTCTGTTCGTTCTCCAACAAAAAGCCATACTCCAAGTTCCACCTCTCCCAAGAATTCCCCGCAGCAGAGCCATGTGCCCATCCTGGAGCTCGAGGGAAAGAAGTGGAGAGTGGTGAGTTCCAGCCACAGCTCTGAACTGCACCCTGCACGTCACAGACCAGGCTGAGCACTGAAACACGTGGCTGAAAGGCTGCCCACGATCAAGGTGCAACAAATCAACGGTTGCAGCTAAAACGGGCTAAAGTCTTGCATTGCTCTGCCTTGCCACGGCTCAGCTGTTACTGTTCTGTAGGAGCTGAGGTCAATTCAGTTATCGCCGAGAACCTTACACGATGAACTGGAGAATGTCAGAGCCAACACAGAAGTTCCTTGCAAAATCCGAATATCCCCCAGAAACAAGTCCAGTGGACTTGTCCAATTAAAATCCCTTCTTGTAGTCCATTCGTGCAGGCGAGAGGTAACAGTATTATCAGGGAACACTTTCTCCAGCTTCGTTAACCAGTGAAATCACACATTTATTTTCTGCCATCCTTTCCATGCAAGCATGTCTCCCGAGAAGCCCCCTCCCTGGAAGTGTCCAAGACCAGGTCGGACGGGGCTTTGAGCAACCTGGTCTGGTGGGAGGTGACCCTGCCCATGGCAGAGGGTTGGCACTGGATGATCTTGAAGGTCCTTTCTGACCCAAACCATTCTGTGACTCTAGAGAAGTGTTTTCCTTTTGCTCAGTCTACAGATGGAAAATGTGTATTTGTTTAGAGTTTGGGAGTTAAGTCAGTAGGCATATACCAAAGAATGTAGGAGTAAAAGGTCACGTGTCTGTGTTGGTTAAAAGAAGGAGGAAACAACAGACAGTTTGGTCCTGCAGGTGGTTATTACTCTGCCATTGAGTTTGCACAAGGCGCTGTCCTTGTAATGCCTGCACCCGCTTATAAACACAGTTATAGAACATTATGGGGAACCGAAACTTGCTCAGTTCTTCAAGGTGCAGGTCTACGTTGGATAGGAGCCAAGTAACAATTTTGTGAGGGCATTTTTAAATTGCTGCGAGCATAACGTCTTTGCTACGAAATTAATGGGGTTTGACATGGTCTAGGTTAAAAGTTCTTCCATTCTGCAGCTCTCTATACATGTGTCATCTAAGGATAATTCAGTTAAATAACCGATCGCCAAGCAGATTAGATTTTTAAGCCACAGGAAGGAAATTGCTCTATTGTAACTGCAGATGCAATGACTCGGGGATAAGTTGTACTAAAGTCTGTCTGACTGTTAGCTAGTTAAAGACAACCAATTAAATAAACTTTCTTTTGAAACAGGAATATCAAGAGGATAAGAATGACCTGGTCATTAACAACACCGAACTCAAGCAAGTGGCCTACATTTTTAAGTGTAACAAATCTACACTTCAGATAAAAGGAAAAATCAATTCAATTACGATTGGTGAGTGGATAGCTCAGCTGGGCTTTAAATGCCAATCTTAGGAAAAACTGACTTTGTGTGATGAATAATGCATCTGAACCATCCCATTCACTGCAACGGATTGATCACGGGGGTTAGGTCACTCAGCTGCGCACTGCAAGACTGGGAATTTTTGTAGTTAATGTAGCAGCTTTGCATATATGTGCCTTTATCTTGCCTTTCTTATTTATGATGCTTTTATTTTAGACAACTGTACGAAGTTCGGCCTTGTGTTTGACAACGTTGTGGGAATCGTGGAAGTGATCAATTCCAGGGATATTCAGATTCAGGTAAACATCTATTCAAAAAACAAAGACAGACAAATAACAAGCAGGGTCAAAAAAAGCCTAATGTGTGCCTATAAGAAAACTTAAAACTCACAGGAGCACAACAAAAATAAGAGATTGATGAATCCAAATGTATCTTTATATTCACTAAATTCTGCTGATGTATTTAGAAAATGTTCAAATAGGCTGTCAAAGGACAACTATAGGACATCTTCCTTGTGGTCCTCATGAAAAGAAAACATACATATTTTAAATCCATTTGTTACCCTCTCTACTGGAGACACCTGCTCCCTTCAAAATATAGACAGTCTGCCTGGTATTTACACCACTTGTTTCGTTCAGTTCCAAAAAGACCTAACTACACATCCTGTAAACCTGGGCTGTGTCCAACGTACCTGACCTATCCTCAAGAAAAGACTTGAGGATATATTGTTTTAAGTCAGTAAGAAAATGTTAATTAAATCTACCACACTGCCAGTCTTCAGAGTGCGATGTTTTGCTTCAAAGGCTGTGCCTGCTGTAGGACATTAAATGGAGACAGTCCTGCTCCACATTTCAGAAACGCTGGCCACAGCCACCATAGGCAATAATAACAAGATGCTTTTTTGTGTGTTTTGAACCTTGCAAGTGACTGACACTGCCACCAGCTGTGCATCATCTTCAGAACTGTAATAAGACTTTTAGTCATGATTATTACATGTTTTCTTATAGCATAGGCAGTTAGTTAAAGATCGGGCATTTGGTTGGGCGTTTTTTCCTACATAATCATATTACTTTTAATTATATTACTTTTCATTACCTCTAGAACTATTCATGAAAGCTGAAAAAGTCATATATACTGAATAACAAAACCACAGCTTGTTAATACTCAAATAAAGGGGAAATATCTTTTCTAAGAATCTAAATTCTTTGGATTAAGCAGGTTCTACGAATATTGCATAAGGCTTCTATGCCACGGAGCAGAGTGGAATTCCACTTCAGGAGGCAGAGTCTGGCTATACGCCGCTTGAATAAGGCAGCTTCCGCAGGGTTTGAGTATGCCAAGTGCTGAGCACCTCAGTTTTCTCAGTATTTTGAAGACCTGAGCTTATAACTTCCAAGTACATGATAAATTAATCAACTTCAGTGAATTCATCCTACAGATTTTGCTATAAATAGCTACGTCAGTGCTATATTGCTTTGCTCTCCTTTCTATCAGTGGTTTGGGGATTTTTTTGATATACAATTGCAAAATTTGTTAAACATACCCTCCTTTTGTTTTCTGTTGGATTAAAGAAAGCAAGTTTAAGATGCATTTGATCTACTGCACAGAGCAAACTTCAGGATCAGGGTGGGATGCATCACATTTAAGGAACTGAAGCTTATATATTCTTAGCTCGAATGACAGGAGACAAGTCTTTCATTGAAAAAGTACATATCTAGCACATGCTGTTACTGTTTGACGGCTTGGAATAACCTCTGCCCTTCCCCCTCTGTCCCTGCAAGAGAAAGCAAGAGGAGGAATTTTTACTGACAACCATGAGTCAGCCAATTAGCCATGAAGAAATCCTTTAATCTGTAGAACTGTAAACAAAGGATTTCCCTTTGTCCCCTCAAGTAAATCTTGCGCTTGCTTTTTAAGTGACAGGAGAAATACTTTTAGAGGTGTAATTAAATCGATCTCAGTACTTTTTTAGAACCCCAGCACGCCTGAAGGGGATAAACCCCCTTCTCTGTTGTGTGCTGTAAAACCTGGAAGAGCTTTGAAGCCTTCACAATCTATTACAGATCACTTGTTGAGTACTACTGGGCTCTTTCCTTTGCCCTTACTGGGTTGGAGTTGACGTATTTCATTTCTTAGCCAGTTCTCCCTAATGAACAAGGTGAACAGTGCCCAAATACCCATTAGAGAGGATCAGGGAAGTGCTTTCATCAAACCATATATTGAAAGTTTGCTGTATATTCTAAGCTTGCTGTTGTGGTTACATCTTTGTTACCACCACTAAGAATCTGCAGGGTCAAACCAAATCAGATGTAAGGATCGCGCAGGCAGCTGACACACAGATCAGAGGTTGGTGGTGAAAATTAGACCTGGCAGGCAATGAGTCTTTCATTAACAGTATCTTGGTGTGCATTGCAGGATTTGCTACTAAGTAATTTTATTTTGCAGGTGATGGGGAAAGTGCCAACCATTTCTATTAACAAAACAGAAGGCTGTCACATCTACTTCAGTGAGGAGTCATTAGATTGTGAGATTGTGAGTGCCAAGTCATCGGAGATGAACATTCTCATCCCCCAAGACGGTGACTATGTGAGTGAGATATTTTTAAAGCATTGAATTCCTATGTACCAATATGTCAGCTACCAGTGCAGGAAGAACTCCTCATCTTCTGGGGCACAAAGTCACTTCAGAGATCAGACCTGGTGTTACTTCTTTCCATTTGGATAGATAATGGCTTTGTCTCCTGTCCATTTAAGTTTCTTTTGTTGAAATCAAACATAATCCCCTAAAAAAACCTCACTTCACGTAAGAGCACTCAAGCCTGAAGAGGATGATGCTAAAAATAAGATAAATATAATACTACTATAGATGAAACAATGCAGTCTAATATACTTGGGTTTCTTCTAAAACTGTTGACATATGGGTAGTACCTGTAGTACTGTCTGGTAGTTTGAACATATTTTTTAAAGCCACTTATACATTTTCCCTGCTCCTTTTCCGTTCTAGTAAGATTTTCAGTACTATGCCCACCAGCAGTTTTAGTAAAGTCACTTCATACTCTGTCACTTCACCCTCTGGCAAGGGATCACACAGGCAAAGCAGACTCGTTATAGTTCCCCAGTTTCCTCAACAGAGCAGTGTGGAAATCGCACTGAACGGCCACAGACAGGACTTCTATTTCTCACTAATATTTTGGGCTAGAAGTTTTTTTGGTAGAGGGGTTTAGGCTTTACCAAAGAAAGCACATACAAGAGAACTCTCATGCTCCCCATTTCCAGATGGATGGCCAGCTGCAGATAACTGAAAACAGAATGATTTTCAGTGTGTGCATATTCACCTATTTCTTGTGAAAAATAAATAAATTTTAAAAGTTCCTTTTGATCAGTCTTACCTCAGATCACTCCATGATCTGAAATCACTGGCTATCAGTGCACCTATCTGAGGTCTAAATGAAATAATCCTTCCCTCATTTTTGTTTACTGGGACCAGAGGAAGACCCAACAACATCTCCCATTCTTTCCCTTGAATACAGAGAACAGCAGGAGCCTTTCTTTAATGTTCTGCTTCGTGTACTCCCACAGGCTGCTGAGTTTTTGGAAGCGTATCACACTTAAAATGATACGGCTTTTTTTTTATTTTATTCTTCCATATTATAATATTGCTTTGGTCCTTAAAATCCTCGCTAAATCCCTGCATCTAAGTCCTCTCTGCTGTCTTCCCGCACAGACACTGCTGGAATCTAAAGTCATTTCTGACAGGAGGCTTATTGACTTAGTTATACCAAATAATGGTGTGAGAGGGATTATTGCAAAGTAGTACCATACCAAGGCTATTTGAAACTGGGTAGCAATAAGGCTTTTTCCTGTGTGGCATTGTAAAAAAGCTTCCTAGGGTAATGAAGAAGGCTTCTCTCTAATCCTGGCATGTCTGAGCTGTCAATGCTTTCTCACTCATGTAGCACTAATAGCATTCCGCCAGTTTTCATGGGGTATCCACCGTTTATTTAACCACGGCTATTGCTTTTGTTTCTTACCAGAAAGAATTTCCGGTTCCTGAACAGTTCAAGACAGCATGGGATGGATCTAAGTTGGTCACTGAACCTGCAGAGATTGTAGGTTAACCTCCTCGCGCCGTAACAGCACTTGCTGACCGTGACCAGAGCACAGCCAGCACCAGCAAAGCCGTCAAGCACAGAACTAGGAGTGGCAGTAGCTCCTACTGCTGGGATAGGCCCTCAGGCGTTAGCTCCGCACGCTAGAAGCAGTAACACAGCTGGCCCTCTTCATTAGGCATCCCCCGTGCTTTTCTCATTGGCACACAGTTTGCCTTCACGTACGGTTTTAATTCTACATGACTTCGTGTGAATGGAATAGGTTAAACCCCTCCGCCTTCCAGTCACATCACGGGTTTGAAATGCTCTGTACATTAAACCAAAATACTGCATGGTACGCTTCATCATCGCGCTCAGTGCATTCCTTCTTATGTTTCTGCTAAGCAAAACCAGCATTAAGACCCTAAGATGTTTATTTTTCCCTATTAAGCCATTTCTGTATGACGCAGTAAGAACGCATCCCTAGAAAGTACGCAGTTCCTTGCAGTTCTGTGGCAATCATAATGGCATTTGTTTCAAACAAGCAAAAAAAGGACATCTTTCAGCAATACTTTGCTAACGGAAGATAAAAAAATTTTAGTATTTTAATCAAACGCGTTTCTAGTATGTATATTTAGAAGATCCCTATGTTTTCTGTGAGGTAAGCTTTTATGAGGTAAGCTTTTATCATGGTCCACAGACTTGCTGTTACCCTCTCATTTCTTGCAAGTGAGTAATTCTTTCTAAGCTAAAACCTTGCGGCAAGTCCCTTGAAGGTTTTTTGCTGCTTGGATTTCTTTTTTTCTTTATTTTTTGATGAGACAATCTCTCATCCTTTAAAATTTCACATTGTATCTTGCATCCTATTCAGAAATCCAAGGGAGGCATATATGTCAGATACCAGCTACTTTCCTTACTAATCATGATCCTTCAAAGTACTGCTACTGTAACTCATATTCATTAAAAATAGCTTCCTGTTTCTTTCCCACATTTGTAGGACTTAATTTCAAACACGTCCACAAAGCAAAGCCATAGATTTGTTATCCTTATTCTGATCCCAAATGAAGGGGTAATTTCCTGTTTAGCCCTTTGATTCTACTTTATAGGCTCTACTGTACATGCTTTTTTAAACAAGAGTGTCGTATACATTTGTACTATCCCAGTGCATAGTACAAATAAAATTTTAAAAATTTTAAAACTCAGTTTATGTTTTCGATCACTTCTAATACTTTGTAAGAGTAAAATCGCAGTGAAGATGCCTGCAGAGCTAGTTACAAGCTAAACTTTGTGCCTAATTTACCTTGAAAGTACATTAACTCTTGGGGGGGTTAAGTATATCTTTGATTGTGAACCCCACACCATACAACTAGTAGTGCTCATTCCATAAGGTTTTGCTATCTGGTGTTTAATCTATGTGTATAATGTGTTTGCTTTAATACATAACCTTTTTTTTCTCAACAGGAAACTTCTTATGAAATAAAAAGGAAAATGTTTAAATACAAAGCTGTTCAGAGCTTGCTCCGTTGCGGTGTTTGCCCTTTATGCTTTCTCCTTGTTCAATGTTGTTTCAAAAGCTTGGCTGATAAAAGGGAACTCCTCCTCCCATGTCATTAGATGTTACCACGTTGGCTGCCATAATCCCCCTGACAGTGCAGAGCGGGTATTCTGCGTGCCAGCAGATACACCTGAAGTTTCGCGCAGATAAAGCTCTGGTGACTGCCCGAGAACTGAGCTTTTCATGAGTCTCACTCTGCAGACACCTCTATCTTCCAGAGATTACGTCTACAGAGATGACCATAACCTGGTGCAGGTTTATAAGGTCTCCCTTCTATTTTTAGCTTTTCCCAGTGTTTCCCTGTGGCTTTGGAGGCGTCCCTCCTGCACTAACAAACCATAAGCAGTTCGCTCTCTGTTTCACTGGGATGGCAGCGGGCAACTGGCCCTAGGTGGCCCTGCCTGAGCAGGGGGGGTTGGATCTGGTGACCTCCAGAGGTCCCTGCCAACCTCAACCCTGCTGTGATCCTATGATACTCGCTTGGTTATTTAGAGTATCAGCTACTACTAGTGAGAATGAAAAGTTCTGAGGCAGTGACGCTATGTCCCCACCAGATGGCAGGAACCAGCTGAGGCCCAGGCCCTGGCCAGCTCGGTCTGTGCATGAAGAAACGCTGGACTGCAGGACGTACAAAGGACACGTGTGTACTGTTAGTCAAAGAAGTGGGAAATTCTACTCTCTAGAAGTCATTGTTAAAATATTTAAAGATTACTTTGATTTTGAAATTATCATCTTGGTAAATGGAGGTTTGTCTGGGATGAACAAGGAAGAACTAAAAACAACTACTTGTTTGATTGGTTTTTTTGAATTATGCTAAGCATATCTCCATTCAAAGCACATTTCTAAATATTACCTGACTGAACTTAAAAGTAATATCTGTTATAAATTGAGGGAATAAAACCCAGGAGCCAATTTAGAATTTAAGTGATTCATAAAATTCATTAAATTTAGCAAGTGGCTGAGTAAGCAAAGCAGCGCTGGGCAGCGGGGAGCAGCTCTCGCCAAGGAGTGCTCTTACCACAGCTGCACCCGTGCACGGGCAGATCCCTTGGGTATATGCAAAGAAAGTTACATACTCATTAGATGCTTATAATATTCCTGAGCTATCCGAAAAAGGCACTCAGTTCCTTTGGTGGTTGGCTCCTCCTCCTCTTGACACCTGCGCAGTGCCTCCTGGTGGTCTCGGGCAGGGCTCTTCAGGGATGAAGGCCGTAGGTCTTCCTCACGATGAACTTTTTACCTTGGTCCAAAACTAGTTGTTCCCAGCACATTTCGTAAGATATCTTGTCCTCGAATTCCACAAGGGGCTTTCATCACCAGATGGTCTTTGTTAGACACCTCTATCACTAGGTTCTTGTCAATTATTTTTGGGTTTATATACTCTTACAGTGAGTCCATCCTGGCAGCCTTTGTTCTTTCGCAGCTGGTGCTAGACAGCTCCCCCTGTGTACCAGAAGCCTCTGATTAACTGCCACCTAACGAAACAAGCCTGACCTTGGGGCCGGGGAAGATTATGGAGTGGTACGATACATGTTTGCTTAACAGGATACTGCCGCCTAAACAACTTCCTTTCTAGCACAGCATAAAATTTGATTAACAAATTCTATATGCCTTCTATTACAATATCTAACAGAGCTATTGAAGATAAAGGAGTAAGTAATTTCAAGTCTGCATCTGAAAAAGAGAAATCTTTTCAATGTCCTAGGGAATCAGGCTAAGGCTTCCCAGTGCCATAGTTACTATCCGGATAAACCATCCTCATTCTCACTCTTTTCTGAGTCCTCAGTGTAGCTGGATCTGCACAAGTTCCTTCAATGTTACTGTACTACATACACGTTCATAAACCTTTGCACCACATCTCTTTCCCATAGATCAAGCATTTGTCCTTCTGGGATCCTTCCAGGGGCTCAACAAAAAACCACTTGCCTAAATCTCATTTCTAGAGAAGAGAATATTTAACTGCCAAAGCATTCAACCACTGATTTTCATCAGCGGTACAACAAACTGCCCAAGATGGTCTCCCTTTCCGACTCTGCTCACCAGAGAAAGCAAACTAAACTAGGGAGAAACTGGTGCTTCAGGAGACTCTACTGCCATAACGTGTGGCAATCTGAGAGAGAATGAAACACCACCCTTTGTCACCTAAAGCCCAAGCTGTGAGTTCCCAACCGCTAACAAGCCCTACTGTTACAGCACCTCTGTCACTTACATCCCAGAATAGAATAATCTAAATGCTTCCAGAACCTGTGGGTCTTCTGTGGACTATTTTTCTTAAGGCAGAAGAATGAAAAACCAGTAACTGAAAAACGTGGGTATTAGGAAGTATTACATTGTCTCTCTTACCTGTTCCTCCTCTCTCCTGCCAATGACTCCATTTCACCCCATTTCACTGGGTGCCCAGCATAACCACAGAGCGAGTTCTAACTGATTATGCCTGCTGGCGACCCTAACATTTACATGTGACTGGCAGTCCTACGCAAAGCCTGTGAGATCTGGTGATTGTACCTGAAGATCTGATCGGGCTTGCAAAGTCTGACGCCATTTGGTCCTGAGGGGTTTGTGGTGACAACCCAATCTAAAAACAGTAAGTAAATACACTGTAGCAGATGAAAGAAGAGTGAAATATTATAAAGGAAGAAGCTCTGTTTTACTACTTTCACTATCAGTTTTCCAAGCTAGTTTTTCTACTAGGAGTCAACAGCGGTTTAAGACTATGTTTTCTTCTATACAACTATCTACCTTCTCTTTCCTTCCTTCCTGTATCTGATTATTCACTGTCCTTCCTAATCATGTTAAAACTTGTTTCCGAAATCATTTACCCATCTTGATTTCACCCAGGTCCATGTTACAAAACGTGGCTGCATTTCACAAAGGCGACATGTATTATTCACTAAGCACTTTTATCAGTTCACCTCAGCTTGTTTATAGGAGAAATTACCGGGTTTTAAGTGAGTTGGGCTTACATGGGAAAATAACGTATTTGTTTTAGTCTGACATAGAGATGGGAAAGCTTGTTTCAGCTGTGCTTTAGTCCAAGAGAGGGAAACCCCTGTTTGTTTCAGCTGTGCATTTGCTATGGGAAACACACCACGTTTGTATATTGCTGGTTTGTTCAGTATGGACCTACATAACCTCTGTTTTACGGAACCTGCAGTCTGGTTGTTACATTTAATGGCACAGAGTAACTTTAAATATTAAAAATTAATTTGGAGAACCGTGTTTAAACTTGCTGCAGGGCTCTTGGCTCTTCGTTCAGCTTCAGAGCAATGTCTGGGCAACAAATTGTAGAAGCAACCCTAGAAGTACAGGAGGCTGAGCAGCTTAACAGCCTTACCTCCTCCGACCAGTTTCAAGGCGCTTCCTATCAGCAACAGGAGAGCTTTGAGAACGCTGCCCCGGGCGGCAAACAGCGGCCGGCACCGCAGCAGGGGAAGGA